CCAGTAACGCAGGAACGCAACAAAGTCATACAACAAAGTCACCCAAAACAGAACCTAACAAATAATAAAAACATGGGAAAGAAAGGGTCGGTCGTCATAACGAAAAGGAGGGGAGATGAATTAATATATTATTTTAAATATCATAGAAGTTTTAAATATTCTCTTTAAAAAGACTTGATTGTATCAATCACCATTTAAAGTCACTGATATAAATTATATAAATGTAACGTTAAATACTTTTGTTATTGTCGAATATAACAAGATTTTTACTTATTAAACAGTTCACTTAGAAACACCATCTATCTTTTAAACCGTAACCACTATTATCAGTATGATTGCGGACAAATATCAAACTCAAATTTTATGTCTGATGGTATGATAATTTAACATCTTATTTTTAACTTAACATGTTATTGTTTTCATTCTCTACATTATTTGCGAAACAAACACTGAAAGTCAACAAGAAAACAGGTTTGCATTTGTGAAAAAATGATTTGCCACCGCATTAATACAACGCTAGATAGTATGTGTAGAAGAATATCATTTTGTTTTGTTTCTATACTGTCAAACTTTGCCATAATGGAGTAGTGTCAAGTGAATTCTGACGTCAGGGTCAAATGTGTACAAAGGCCATAATATAATAATTGATTCAAAATAAAAGACTTTTACTTAAAGAGGTATACATTTCGTGAATCATAATGTCCTTATAATGTGCTCAAATCATTAAATTAATATCTCTGAAAAACAAACATCTCTCTTGCTAGAGGTCGTGACCTGTAGACTAACACCAAGCTAATGAATGGTTTTTATATAAAAAAAACTGCAAAACATATTCACGTGTATAAAAGACATTCCTGTGAGTTGTTTCTCTTTCATAATTTAATTCATTAGCTTGACTATTTTATAGCAAGGGAACAGATTTGAAGAAAAGCCATGACCAAACCTATATTATTAATATTAATAGAGATTCAATAGACAATGTTTCCTGTTTAATATCTGAGCTCGAGCCCTTGTAGTTTTGAAGAAAAGATTCTTTTTACTATATACGTATATATAAGGACAACCAATTACCCATGTGACGGGCCAATTTTGATCACATGGCTTTAATTTGAACAATCTTGGCAGAGGTCTATAAGCAAAAGCCTGTGGAAAATATCTATGTTCTATGTTGTTTAATTCTAGAGGAGAATTTACTAACACATTTTTTCTAGTCTAAAATTCTACACACATACACACACGCAGAGGTGAACATTATATGCCATCGCATCACAGATTACAATGGCATTTTTGTTTAATTAAAATTCACTTTACAATAAATGATACATGAGTACAGGAGTACATCATAATGTATCAACATTAAGAAAACATGCATAGATTAAAATAAAAACAAGCTCCAAATATAAACAAAACAATAGAATAAGTAAGATCTAAAAAAGCTCATTTGAATAGCATAACCATACCAGCATTGTTTAACAATGAACCTCTGAATTCGCATGTAAGATTGCAAGCATATAATAAAACAAAAATGTCACATGTAAAGTAACAAAAATGTAAATTAATTATCTTGCTGGATATGTTTGACTGATATAAGAATCAGTCTTTCAACTATTGGCAAAGTAAAGTTTTTACTTAGTACTGTCAAGTTTTAAATTAAAAAAAACGATTACTTGACGGGATCAAGATTGTTTAAGATACAACGTAACATTGTCATTCTGCAAGAAAACAGTAAGAAATCCTTTTTAAATAGAATTTATATCTATTTCATTTTTTTAAAAACACCAAGAAGTTTAAATGAGGTACAGGAGGTTATAACACAAACTGTCGAATACCCAGTTGTATTTCTACAAACTAGTCATGGCAGAACTAAAAATAAAACACCATTTCAAATAAAAAGCTTAATACTTCATACAATTTATAGAGGTAAGATGATAATACATAAAACAACAATAAATGCCATATTATGAAATATATAACACAAACCTGAAAACTTGATTTTTTTCGATGCCAAAAGCACTATAGAAGTTCATCATACACGGTAACCGATAACAATATAATATTCAAATGTATTTATTTAATACAATCTATTCATGGCAAAACTAAATATAAAGCACCATTTCAAATAAAAGCTAATACTTCATACAACTTATAGAGGTAAGATGATTATATGTAAAACATAGTTAAAGCAACAATAAAACATTATTATATAAAATATGTAACACAAACCTAAAAACTTGAAAATCTTCAATGCCATTAGCCCTAAAGTAGGTCATGATATACGGTAACCGACTACTATATATATAAGATACAATCGATTTTTGAATACTGTCAAAAAGCTTGACTACAATGTAAAATACAATCGAATATTTTAAAAGACAACATTATTTCTGTTTTTGCAACACGCCCCCTTATCGTGATAAACTCAAGGAAGTAATTATCAAATGTATATTTTCCTTACGTACATATATAATGCATTTATTTAATAATCGAATGTAACTGAATATACACTAAAAATCCAATTTTGGTCTTGAATTTGAAAATGAACCTGCATTTTAGTGAATATTTAATTGTTAAGCATCAAAAGGAAATAAAAACTTTCAATTTTTACAATATTTTTATTCTCTACCAGAACTGTAAGAAGAGGGCAGGTTACTAATACCCGCACCGTTAAAGGACTGTGCGTACGATTTATCACAATCATTTCCAGTTTAAGATCTCTCAGCGATGATATAATCAGTATAAATTGAATCACAACAATACATTCTAATATTTCAAAATAAACATAAGAATTCTGAATTCAATATGACCTCCAAATACTAATAAACTCAAAAAATTTCCTTCAAGACTACAGACTTTTGTGGAATTATCACAATGCTTGCGACGTGATCATATATTATCATTACGAGCATGAAATAGAAATTTTAAATGCATTTTATTCTGTGAAAATCATATTGGTAGCGTTTGATCTTTCTTTCTCCCGTAACCAGCAATTGCAAATTCAATGTTTTGCGTGTCGAATTTCCATTAGTACCCCAGGACAAAATCCGCCAAATGTATGGTCAACATTAAATGGAGAAGACCCAAAATAATTCAATATGTAACTTTTGGATTTGGAGATAGTGAAGACCAAATGGAAATGGTGTTAAGACAATGAAATTACTAATTTGATTTTTTAATATATTTCATTCGCTGTAAATTCCCCTTTCATGTCACATCACAATCAACTCTTGATATTCCACAGGTTGTCCATTATATAAGAAAAAAAATAGAAAAAGGGCTCTAGAAGCTGGCATTGTAGTCCATTTCCATTGAGGTAGCTAACATGCATAAAAAGTTGAATAGCTGTAGGTAACAAGAGGGCCATGATGGCCCTGAGGTCGCTCACCTGTATATAGGCCCCCCCCCCCCCCTCCCCGGGCCAATTTTTACCCAAGGGCTTTTATTTGTTTATTTGAACAGACTTGGTAGACACCCATAAGAAGATGTTTCATGCTAAACATCTAAGTTCTAGCTCATTGGGTTTTTTAAAAGAAGATTTTTAAAGTTTTTACTATACACATATAGTTAAAAACAATGACACCCCTGGGGCAGGGCCAGTTTTGACCCCCGGGCTTTTATTTGAACAAACTTTGTAGATATTTACTTAAAGATGTTTCATGCTTAATATCTAAACTCTAGCTCTTTGAGTTCTTTAAAAGAAGATTTTTTAAGTTTTTACTATATGCATATAGGGAAAATCAATGACCCCCCTGGGGCAGTGCCAATTTTGACCCCAGGGCTTTTATTTGAACAAACTTGGTAGACACTCATTAGAAGATGTTTCATGCTAAATATCTTAGCTCTAGCTCTTTAGGTTCTTTAAAAGAAGACTTTTTAAGTTTTTACTATATGCATATAGGGAAAATCTATGACCCCCTGGGGCGGGGTCAATTTTGACCCCAGGGCTTTTATTTGAACAAACTTGGTAGACATTCACTAGAAGATGTTTCATGCCAAATATCTAAGCTCTAGCTCTTTAGGTTCTTTAAAAGAAGATTTTTTAAGTTTTTACTATATGCATATAGGGAAAATCAATGACCCCCCGGGGTGGGGCCAATTTTGACCCCAGGGCTTTTATTTGAACAAACTTGGTGGACACTCACTAGAAGATGTTTCATGCTTAATATCTTAGCTCTAGCTCTTTGGGTTCTTTAAAAGAAGATTTTTTAAGTTTTTACTATATGCATATAGGGAAAATCAATGACCCCCTGGGGCGGGGCCAATTTTGACCCCAGGGCTTTTATTTGAACAAACTTGGTAGACATTCACTAGAAGATGTTTCATGCTAAATATCTAAGCTCTAGCTCTTACGGTTCTTTAAAAGAAGATTTTTAAGTTTTTACTATAAGCATATAGGGAAAATCAATGACCCCCGGGGCGGGGCCAATTTTGACCCCAGGGCTTTTATTTGAACAAACTTGGTAGACACTCACTAGAAGATGTTTCATGCCAAATATCTTAGCTCTAGCTCTTTGGGTTCTTTAAAAGAAGATTTTTCAAGTTTTTACTATATGCATATAGGGAAAATCAATGACCCCCCGGGGCGGGGCCAATTTTGACCCCAGGGCTTTTATTTGAACAAACTTGGTAGACACTCACTAGAAGATGTTTCATGCCAAATATCTAAGCTCTAGCTCTTAGGGTTGTTTAAAAGAAGATATTTAAAGATTTTTCTTTCGGTTGCCATGGCAACCAGAGTTCTGCATGGAATTAAATTCTTTGAACAATTTTTAAAGGTGATCACCAAAGGAACATTCCTGTGAAGTTTGGATGAAATTGGCTCAGTGGTTTATGAGGAGATGTCATTTAAAGCAAAAGTTTACGGACGGACGACGGACGACGGACGGACGACGGACGGACGGACGGACGCCGGACGAAAAGCGATCACAAAAGCTCACCCTGTCACTTTGTGACAGGTGAGCTAAAAACAGGCTTCAAATACTTATTATTTATTATATTGAAATCTTATATTACCTGCAATCTTAGTATAATGCCCGAAAATATTCCACTAACCGAGAAAATATTATATTTAGCAAATTAATTAAGTAAACTTCTTATAAACTAGAAAATAATTGACAAACATAAAGGTCCCTGACTTGAAATATTTAACAACTCCATTAAATAAGTTTAATTCAATTGTAGACATTGAATTCTTCCAACTGAAGATTTTATCCAGGAGGATGAAAAATACACAATAAAAAGGTCACTTCAACTCAATTTATAGAAGTTTCCTTGTTATACAAATTTGCTAAGAATCGCCAAACACGGGCTAGTTTTTAAAATAGTGTTACATGTTTTTTTTTACAATAATAATGTTCACATCTAGTTTATCTTCAATGATTCCATATCTGTCATACATGCTTGCTGAATGACCTCAACAGTAGCAGGACCATCTGAAACAAATAACATTAATCATATAATGGGACATTTACTCAACATTGAATACTTGTTTAGTACAAATAAGACAATCACTAGTGACTGTTTTGACAAGCAAGAAAGAGGTTCCCATTCCAAAACAGAATAAACATTTCAGATTTCCTCTGTAAGATTGTATACATTTTCCTTCAAAACATTAATGGGTCACTCAAGCATAAAGGATCGTTTTGGTTTTCAAGAGAACAATTTATAAAATTTTGTATTTTTTTTTACATTGCATACTCTGCGCATTTAATGCACAAGAACATTATAAAAATAGCAGCATTGATAGTTACCAAATTAAAAGGGGAAATACCATGTATCATTTTCTAAAAAATATATAACTGCTGCACAAGCAGCCTTTCACAATAACAATAACAGTCTTCTAAACTGTATTTACCCAAAGGAAAATAGGTTTCTTGTCCAACCTCTTGTTGAGCTGCCTCTACAGCATGCTTGAGAGCAAACAATACGGAGCAACTCATACATAATGGAGGTTCTCCACATGCTGAAATAATAAAGACAAAAATAAGCCACAACATTTATCACCTTAATATTAATGACCTTAAATTAGTTACAATTGTTCTCGTTCTAAAATTTCTTTAAATGACTGCTTTATAGGCCCCATCCACAAGGTCAGAAAATATGTATTTCATAATTGTTAAATGGAAATAATTCAAAATAGTCAAATTGCATTACTTGATAAAATTTTCAATCACTAAACAACATGAGAAACCGAGACATTAAACAATGAGACTGTTTTTGATAAGGTGTTTATCGTGATTCAAGGCAATTCAAACGCATGATTTAAGCTCCTTCCTGAATTAAACTGTTTATTTCAACAATACAGAATACGACCTTATTTACGAATAATAACAATACGACGCTCATTTTCACAGCTGAAAGCTTCACGGACCAAGTCGCTGGTGACTGATGCACATCCTTTCGAGTAATTTTATTTTCATACAAAAAAATCATAGTATTTTACTGTAAAACAATATATGATGTAGAAATATCATTTTGTGTTTTTTTTCAGACTTTTGTGAATGCAATGCATCAGTCACTAGCGTCATCATAATAAAGAAAGTATATAAATATGTTACAATGAATAAAAGGTTACCTTTTGATCTGAGGATACCGATAGGGTTAGGAGCATCTTTCAACAGCTGTATCCTAAAATCTATTGGTATATCTTTTGATGTTGGAGGCTTGTAATCCTGAAATAATAACAATATTGATGGAGTATTGTGTATGGTAGCACTGGGAGTAGCACATATAAGGTATATAGCTGTACAACGCCATTGAATATGTATTTTATATGTAGAAATAGGCGTTAAATCAAGTTTTCAAGTTTCAAGTTTCAAGTTTCAATATTGATAAAACGAATTTTACCAGCATGACCTTTTCTTAACAAGACCTTTGGTTTCATGTCATGGAGAAAGGTTAACATGGTAATGTAATGGAATACTGATTACCACTTATAGTCCAATTTTGTAAAATGTCAGTTGTCTGCGTCTTATTGCATAGGATATTATTGAGAAAAAGGTAAGGAACATTCAAATGTGTACATTTTGTTCTCTAAGACAAAATGTTAATTGTATAAATATAACTTAGTATACAGCCAGACAATAATTAAAGCAATTGACCTAACTCTAGTAATGCAGGAACTTTATGAAGTGACGCTGAAAAAATAATAAAATGAATCAGAACATTGAGAACATGTATGATATGGCTTCATTCAATTATATTACCTGTAGAATTTCATTCGTATCATGACAGATTATGTTAAAGAAAAAGTCAGCAAACATATGACAGAAGCAGGTTCTTGAGATATTCTAATCGCTCATTCCGGCTCTTTGAGGTGAGAAAGTGAAATGTGTAACTAAAGTAACATACCCATGTTCCATTGGTGAGGTTTTTCCCAGTCTTTTCATCATAAATTGTTTCCTCCAACAACCAGTAACCTATGCCCATAACAAAAGCTCCCTCTGCTTGGCCAATGTCTAAAAATGGGTTTATACTAAAAAAGAGCAAAAATGAAATGATATCTAAAAACAAAACAAAATGAATGAGTTAACAACAAATTTTCAAGCAATATAGTGCAAATACTTTTTGATGGCTTTTTACACAGATACATTTAAGGTCAGATTGCGTTTTTCAAGTTTGGTGGTGGAGGCAGACAAATTCAACATGCTATATTTGTTGAAAGAAGACACATATTGCTACATATTGTTTTACACAATTGAAATCAACTCATAAAAATCTTAAGACATTTCCTCATGTTATACATGCGTAATTACTTGTAATTGCTTAAACACGATTTTTTTTCTTTAAGTCCGAATTGTTTTAAATCCAAGTTAAATTTTGGTCGACGAGTCTGAAGAAAATTACTCTTACAAGAGATGATTTTTTTCCAAGGCATTGACTTCATTTACTTCGTTTAGTTGATTGATCAACAGACTGTGGTTTTTTTTTGTTTTTTTGTTTTTTAAATCAAAGTGTATAGTTAATGAACTGTATAAGTGTAATGTCATCGATAAAAGTGTCTAAGTGGCCCTGAATCCTGAAAAAGATGTTCACAGCGGATGACGACTAAGTGATATATTTACTAATTAAGATAGTGTTAAGACGTCTATTAAAATATCAACATATTTCACATAACATACCTGTATATCAAAAGTAAGACTTTCAAGAGCTCGCATGTTCAAATGTGCAATTATTTTGTTCCTCCTCTTACAAATGAATGGATATTTCGACATTTATATTTTAAGAATAGAATTTTAATATTTTACGACAGGCAAATTTAGAGAATAGGTAACATAGTCAAATCGCATAAAAACGGTGTGACACATTAAGCGATTTTAGTTATTTATCTTTTTTAGCTAAAACATCGTGTGAGTTTCGAGCACCACTATGTCACTATTGTGTACATCATTATTTTCATAAGTTGCGGTTGGTACGTGTTTATATACTACAAACCATTCAAAATTATATTTAAACTACAAAAGCAGCCATCATAGCAAAAACACTTCATAATGTAAATATGTCAAAAGATAAGACAACGTTTTCGAGCACAATCACTTTTAGCACATATGACCATCTCTGCACCTACTTTATCATTTGAGACACATTGGTCAAAAATAAAAAATCAATATACATTATCAAATAAAATCTTTTTTAAATTTTTGATAATTGATAAGGTTATTAAATCATATTAAAACATGAAAATATTATAAAATCCTGTAAAATTTTAATAATCAATGTTTTCAATATCACTGTTTTCTTTGAAATTAAAAGAGTTATTTAAAGCTATTATCCCAAACACGGTCGTTGGATATTATTGAAAATTAAATGTCATCAATACTTAGGATAAATCTTAGCTTTATAAATTTACATGGGACATAAATATAATTCTTTATCTGAGAAAATCCAACTTATTGAAAATTTCATCATCCTAAAACTTTTAATTGTTGCGACGATATATTTTGTGTAAGGGTTAGTCCATATATAACAATGATTTACCAATCTGGTGTCTTCAAGGTATGTGCATTATAAAACATTTTCTTCAGACACGGAATAAAATTAAATAAAACTTGAATATTTTCAAAACCAATATCTAAATTGTTTTTTTATAAACATTACCATTGAAATCAATAAAATATTGATGTGTCCCGGGTATCAGGCATTAATCAATAATTTAACTGTGGACTGTGTAACAATTATTTATTTAGAAAACTTACCTACATGAACTTTACTTTATCAGTGGGTTGTGAAATCCAGTACCAGTTGTTGACTTTAACAAGGCATAAAATGAAAAATGAACTGTGCATTGACATTTTAAATAACACACTTTAGCTCATTTAAACAGGTTATACCAATGATATTAGCTGCTTGTACTTTATGTTTAAGAAATCCTTATCCGTAACACTTTGGCTGTAATTGTTTGTAAACAATCCTTTTAATCTTGACTTTAAGCTGTCATAATTCCTTAAATGTTTGTATGCTTATGTAAAGTCTGATTTCCTCAGATGAAGAATGTAATTATCTAACAAACTGCAAAGTAACTTTGTTAAAATCCACATTATTTCACTGTATTTTCCTTGAAATGTAATTTTCATGTGTTGGAAATTTACTGTAAGCCGCCCATTTTGTACTTTGCATTATTGGCTATTTATAAAC